AAGTGAATTTGCATGAGAAACGAGACTTGATCACGTCTAATGCACGGTTGCATTATGAATTCATGCAAAATATTAGCATGCTTGAGCAAATCAGTACGCGAAAAATAGCAACTTACAAGGTGACGGTGCCCGGCATCGCCTACGCAGGCAACGGAATATGCGTTAAAGAAACTTGTCCACTGAATCCGTTGCGGCAATCAGTCAAAGCTAACAGCGTAAGGTAGGCAAAAGGCGTTTATCAGCGAAACGACTCTGCGATCTTCTTTACAGAGAAAAAGCTCAGTTGTACTAGAGACCGATGCGTTCATCAGATGCCGAACCTGAGGGCTCAGGCGACTGAGCAGCAAAGAGTAACGTAGGTCCGACAAAAGGAACGGCTGTAGCACTTAGTACTAGTAATCATCCTAGTGCCGTTGCCACTGCTGCTATCATTCCTCCGACAATGAACTGCTGCTGGTTGGGGAACAACTGCGTGTCTCCTATCAAGGAGAGGACACCACACTCAACCATGTGTCTATTGAGAATATACAGCAGCAGCAGCAGCAGCAGCAGCAGTAGTAATTGCTACTGCAATATGAAGGTGAAATGCAATTGTCGTCAGAATGCTCTATCGCTGAGCATAGTTTTAATCGAAAAATCTTGCACAATTACCTTACGTCTTTAGTCTTCATTGTCGTTCATGAAGATCGGCTATTATTCGATCTGTTTTGTGAAATTTAAAAGGTTTTTTTTTTCATTCCAGTTCGACTATTTTTCCTCCATACATCAGCACTTGTTTTCATTATTGCATTGTAAACATAGAAAGCTAAGTCTCCGCCAAAAAGGTATTCATAATTGATAGTGAAAGTCGCTGGTGAAATAGTCCGGAAGATCACACATTGCTATTCTATAGATAAACCATTACCTTATTCATACTCGAGATCACAGAACACTGGTTCTTACACTCAAGTTGCTGTGCCTCTGGTTTTTCTTTTTTTGGCTTTTTGATGGTTTGTAACGAGTGTTGCCGTGAGTAGCCAGCGTGTCTACAGGTCAAGAGAGTTTTTCTCGAAGTCTGATAGACTTCGTCGTACTTTCTCCTCCGCAGCACGACGAGCTAGAGATAAATCGAGTGGTGTAGCTGAACCTTTTGATAACCAAATAATGCCACTGTAAATTCCTCCAAGCTAGATTAAAATTTACGAAAGACATCACGTTTCGACGGGCTTAGCGTCGAGCTTAACACAGACCGTGAATCCATCATGGACTACATGAAGAGATCCAACCGAAGTAAAAAAAGCAATCGGCTTTTTTGAATGTATGAATAAGAACACATCCATATTTACTTTCAACTAAGTAACGCGTCGTCTTTTTCTGCTCATGCAGTGTTTCTACGGGCTTAACGTAAGATAGCTACGCATTCGCAGAACGAACTACGAACATTGCAGATTTCAATCTAATAGGAGACGTTGCAGACTGCATTTGGATACATGGCAGGAAACATGAATTTGAGTTCAAGTTAAAGTTATGTACGATAGGCGCTTCATTCAAAATATGCGTCCTAGGACTGCCCTCTCTGCACAAAATGCACGTAGTATTAAGCAGCGTTATAATACAGATAGAAGCAGTAATAAGGATAACAATGACATACAATTGATCACTCAACATTGAGCAACAGGCGGATACGATCTGGGGTAATTGGCTCAAGGAGGAAGCGACGATCAGGCATAGTGAATACGAATGGAATTGTGCCTCACGTGCCACCGTGTCTGTGAGCGTATTGTCCCCGCAGCACTATATACAATTCGTATTATTCTTGTTGCGACAATGTCGTTCGTGGAGATCGGAGGTATTTCAAAACGTTTAAAATTGCCTTCTTTAATATAAATATGTGCTTAATAGCTAAGGCTATTATTTGGCGCTGACACATTGCTGATGTGGTAAAATTTTATTATAAGCACTTCTTTATGATCAACTGTCGACGTTCTTGTTAACTGCTACTTGTAATGTATTTATAAAGAGGATATGGGGGGTAGAAGAACTTCTCATAAACTTCGGCTGACTTTTTGAAAAAGGTAGGCTTCTAGAAAAAAAAATAAAAGCGGATTAGGTATACGCTGCTTTATCGATTAACTTACTTTTTGCACAGAACATGTTTTTTAAACTGCGGGTTTGCGCAAATTCCACTTTTGGCCTACTTTAGCTATTTTTTTTATCTTTTTCGAAAAATTATTTTAATTGCACCTCTTGCTATGTTAAATATATATATATATATATATATAAATCTTTGTACGTATAAAAAAACTTCGTTTTTTTTTCAGCTGTTTGTATTGATTAATACTATTATTGTTGTACCTACTATTTACTGTATTCCGTATTGTGAACCGAACGCTGCAGAACATTCTAAGAAACTATCACTAGAATCTCGAGAGAGAATGCAAATTAAAAGGATCCCTAATAACGAGACATATATTACAGTCTATTATTGGTTCCTTTAGGCCGCGTTTCGTCAAACACGAATAAAATTCATTAGGATAAGATCAAGAGAGGTATCGCATCGGCCAATATTCAAAGTTCATTCATGCATCGATTCTCTTTTATTTCCCCTATTTTGTTCCTTAAGCCGATAGTTGTCGTTTCATAAATATATAAGTAAATTGTCAATACCAACTTATGTAAAGTACTTCGTACTAATTTATTGCTACAAATCATTATAACATTTCTCTCTTGATCAATATCAGACGATACTCGAGTTGAATTTCCTTTTGAGCCCATCCTAAGTGCGTTTAAAAAATACCTAAGCCGCATCAGAAGAATTAATGTGAACTTTTTGACTTTACCCGTTTCAACATCATCTGCTGCATTAGAATACTTTTCATTTTACTCGATACCTCCATAATCTAATAGGGATCAACGAGGTTTATTGTTTCGATATCAGCGGCGAACATACTAAAGTTATAATTAACAAATGCACATATACATGACCGTGCAGTTATATTTGTAACATCATTAGATTTTTTTTCTATAATTGATTATTCCAGTTCTATTGACACTTATTGCATAAGTATCGCTTCCATAGTAGTTATTTATATCACTTCCGAAGTATGTACATAGATATATATATATATATACATATTACTTCCTTAAACTTGTTAATGCGCCAAACCTTGTTAAATATTTCAAGAAAATCTGTAACAAAATTTAGGAAAAAAGGAGACGTAGGTAAGGATAGTATTTTCTGTATGGAAGGTTTTAAGTAATTTCTTTTTAATTTTCCATTGTATGCATATTCTAGCTACCCTCCACATTTTCGAAAAAAACAACTAACAGACCTCTATTAACGAATTTTCAAATAGTTCGTGAATCGCACACCTAGAAAATGGCTCTCTTTGCTTTAACAGATACACATAGTACTGCTATATTTACATAGAATAATCGATTTTTTTTCAGTCATAGCAGAGTTAATCGTTTTACGCAGAAATACTGCATAAACTAATACGATATCCACAATCAGAGATTAATTAATTTTCAGTTGACTATTTGCCACTAGCATAGCTTGGCTCCTATTTTGTTCATAATTCGTAAATATGCTACTTATTGGTATACGGATATTTATTTTCCTTAAGCTATACATGAAAGCCACAGATTTTTTCATTTTTTCCATAGCATACGTGTTGCTTCTATAGATAAGTTCTCGCGAACATTATCATTTCTACTTTATCGAAGAGATGGCGCCACTAGTGTATGACCAAAGTGTACTTGATCCGCATCTTTTTAATAGCGATAGATAGGCCATATTTGAGTCCGTCCCTTGAAACACTGAGTATACTAATAATCCACCAATTATGGGTCTTTTGATGCAGCACTCCTCTCAGCGTATTGTATTGGTATCTAGATTAGTCCATACGGCTCAGTTTTTTTTTGCTGGCTGGCGATTTTTTATTATTTTTTTTGTTACATTCATTCAATTTACAATCAAACGAAACTGTAGTTTATATCAACAGAAACAGCATTCATCCTGTTGATGAACCATGTTCTAGCTGTTTTTAGATCAAAATGTATTGCATTATAGTTACTATAATGATGAGAGAGATGACAAACATACGTTTCAAGTAGAAACACGTTACGTACTTTTCGAATAAGTCATTTTGGAAACGTACCCAAAACTCGTGTCAAATAAATGGCTATATAGTTCATCTTAGTTGCTATACAAGCAAGAGGGCATGCGCGTAACTTTTGTGGAAACACTTTTCTAAGATATTCACATGGTTCACACGGTTTCAAAAAGTATATGATGTCTCTAACGTTTGATGTGTTCAACGACAAAAAGAGGAGCTATCGGCAATCGCGAACCTCTTTTCAAAGAAGTAAACCTTATCTCGAAATGAATAGACTCCAACACGAACCAGTCATCTTTAACTGGCAACCAGAAAAGTGTTAGCGTTATTATACAGCAGACTCGCGCGTTAGACGCACAGCCGTCCTCTTGCGCCGTTTTTAGTTAGGAAGAGTTTGACAGGCACCTCATTGTATAGCATTGTCATGTGATTATCTATCCATCTTTAGCTCCATCAGGCACTTTGATTCCGCGATTTTATACGCATTAGTAAATTATAAAAGTTAATGCATATACAGAATAAATAATAACAAGTAAATCAAGAGCTGAGGCACATCATTGTGCCTTACACGATGCAACTATAAAAATGCCGAGTTAACAATAACTGTTTTCTTATGGGCCAAACATGTATTTTGACCGAATTAAAAAGATGATGAGGCTTCTAAGGTTTGATTTGATTCTAAAATTTGTCAGAACTTCAGTCATACTAATCTGCAAAAATGGATCGTTTAATCATGCAATACGATGTGAGTTAAAGAAACATAATTCATCAGACTGAATCCCATGAACACTTCATCGATATGGTCCAAACAATTGGATGGATTTGCTATGGAGAAGCATTGCATACGGACTGGTTTACATGTCCATTAGGACTTTACAACATAATAAATTGATCGAAACTCACCTTACACGGTCCTTTGTGAAAGGTTCACTTAGACCCTCTTCAGGATCGCTGGCTGTGCCCTCCTCCTCTAATGACGATGATCCCGCACTGCTGCCCAGCATCATTGACAAATTAGTATTCGGCTTCTCAAGGCTTACCCTGGACCGATTTTGATCATTCTTTTCTCCTGTTGGATAATCTCTGAAGTTTTTCGCAGTACCTATATAACTCTCGAGTTGTTGGACATCCACTGTGTTATTATTTTCCGCTCTAAGTGATGCACGTGACAAGGGATGGTCCTGCACCACTGGTATCATCTTGTCCATATCAGAATCGAGCTCACTATCCAAATTGAGGTAAGAAGACCCACGGGAGCTTGTGTTTACTTCTAACACCCCGGTTTGTGAATCCTGGAAGGTGAACGGCGCTGCTATAGCTGTGATAGACTTGCGAGAGAATATCTTTCTAAGGCGAGACATGTTTTCGTTTGTGTTGGTTCGTAATGGTGCGGATGGATGAGCGAAGGGTGCAAACGTGTGGAGAGCAGTAGTAAACCTCGATGATGGTAAGCGGACAACAAAACTATCTCCCTAATATCGGCGGAGCTTCCGCTGCCAGCAGTTACTACGATGAGTGGACGAGCGGACCGGCGACCTGTTCCTACAACAACAACAGCAATAGCAGCTAGAACAACGATGTTACGTACAAGACCTTCGTATTGATGCTTCGTACACTTAGCAACTCGATACAGATATATAGTAGAATCAAAAAAAGTTAATGAGTGAATAGATTGTGTCGACACGAGCGTAAGAATTATAGCTGGCACCGACACTCTTTTTCCAGAAACACAGACTTTCTTGTTCCAGGAAATTTTTTTAGTAATACTGATCAACGTCGATGCGATGCTAACACATAGCCGGCAGCGTTGAACGAGAGTGTCACCTATAGCCGCTGCAGCTAGCGTAATCACAGAACTCTCGTTAAAAACACAGCACGCAAACCAACGACACCGCGCTTACAATGATATGGACGTAATGAGTAGACGCTGGAGATGGTTGTGAATCCCTACCACGCACTTCCGTATCCAAGCAAACAACGTTAACTGATCTACACGATCTGACTGATCACCAGAGGCCATCCCCACTAGAGCAGCCTGTCGTCTCGCGCCAACGGATCGATTCCATCCGTGCGTGGGTTGATCATGATCATAAGACTCAACATCTGACAAAAGAAAGCAAGCAGACAACACTCAGTGAGCGCCTCCTCGAAGTAGACGAACAAAAGACCGAGGCATACATTGAACAGCGCCCTCTTGTGGTAGGTTCGAGAAATTAAGTTTCATTACGGCTGCTACGGACATTCTAAAAATGTGAACCATTTTTTGCTGTTATTATCTTTCGCCTCTAATTTAATTTTATCTGTAATTAAATTACTACAGCTCTTATAATATCTTATAATATCAAATTATATCATAGTTTCGAAATATGCCACTTAATCAAAGTGGCACATGTTAGCGAAGATGCACAAGCAGTACGTTTCGCAGTACTTTCGTTTACATTATGACATTCTAAGAGTTCTGTATTGGATTTTTTTTCTATTTATGATATCACTTTTTAACCGTTTAATGATTAGGAGGGAATTAATAAATTTGCTCCCTCTAGTTTTGGGAATTACTGGAAGGCATAGCTTTTTTTTTTCTTTCCGAAGACGTCTAATTGATGAGGTTAGTATTAGATCTGATCGAATATAGAATGCTATTACATCAATTTTTTCAACAACATTTTGAAGGATAATCGGATTCATACGAGGAAGGAGACGCGACCGTATTTAAACGGGCGAATAGAGACGATGGTTCTTTTGTTGATAGATAACATAATATAATCCATCTATCTAAGTGAGACTATATAGTAGGCTCGGAAATTTTGAATCAATAACTGGCTAATTTTAGGCTCGTATAGCTCTTTCATCATTGAGGAAATATATACATGAGCTCATGCATATGTGGGTACTTTCATTGTATATCATTATATATATCATCACTAGATATACATATTTGTATAGATATCGTACATATTACTTTAAGACCCCCGCTATACTCTACGAGATTTTATGCTTTTAAACTGATTATGGCAAGGACAATGCGGGTCAATCCGGCACAGAGCTTTTTTCAGTTAATGTCGTTTTTGACCATGATGGGAGAATACGCTTTGATTTTATAGTCACTAAGTTATCGAATGGCGTACGTATAATTCTTTAATAATTATAACCTATAATTATATGTATTCAAGGTCATGCATATTTGCATACATATAACAACAATCGGTCTAATTAGCAATAAGAGAAACATCATCGCGGGTCTCTCCCATTGGATGGAAAAATGAAAATCAAACAGAACAACTAAATAGAGAGGGAAGCTGCTTAATCAAAATAGTCAATATATAGACTGGGGCAAAAAGCAGCAAGTGATTCAAATAAACCCAAATTGTCGAAGCGTTTTCCTATATCCTTCTTCTAGCTATCTTTTTGAGGATATGTGTCATATTTTCGTTTTTAATTTATTTCTAAGGGCGAAAACTAGAATTAATAATTCATTAGTGTGTGTTTGCTCGCGTTGTGGCCTTGTCAACGTCGAACTACTACTAAATGTCGTTACTTAGACGGTGTAGTATGCTTTATGAAGAGGAACCCCTACAGCTTTTCCTACAAATGGTTGAATGGTGCTACGATGATGCCGACATTAAGCGCCTGAACGATAAACCTTGAAGCAGCGATGAAAAAACGACAGGCATGTGGCAGTATGAAGTGGTCCTTGTTTATTGTCATTTTCTGTGTCACAATAGTTACGGCCAACTGTTCGATCTTGACATAACTAGGTTAGCGGTTGCAAACACACAAAATATCTATATTTGTAACCGTAGTTATGTGTTATTTACACTATTTTGAGAAGGTCACCTCTGACTCTGGCCTTACCTTCTTGACATGGCTCGCCCATATATGAATTCGTTAAGCGACCAAAGTCGATCTCAAATTTGAAGGATGCAAGAGACAAACTGCACGACATAATTTGATGTTCATGATAGGTTATGCTGCGTTTCCCACTTCATTTCTTGTTAAAATTACGTAGCGAAAGTTAGTATAATGTAATATGCACGCGGTAAGGTTCTTTTCATTTCATGCTTTTCAATGGAAATACGAAGCTCCTATGCATCTAATATATTCGTAAAAGGATAAGAAAATGTAACCAGAAGATATGGATACATATACGAACGAATTATGCCTTTAGATCAATAATTCAAGAGATTCTTGCATCATTTGTTTCAATGGAGCATAGTAAGAAACAATCGTCACTTTTACATATACGTTTTTTGCATCGAGTAGATGTTATACGTCTTTCTACTCTTTTCTTTTCTGCTGTACATTAGGAGGCTGAATTCAGTCGCATATGGTCTGTTAACACATTCATAGATGGACCTGTTTCAGTTTCAAGCCAGCATGTGTCAAATGCTTCCTACTATTATATGAGATAACAAGCTTCCAGATTTGGTCACCAGAAACTAATTGTTAATTATATATTTATGCAACCCTTTCCAACTTGAATCCAATATAATGTTTTGCTTAAGGAGGATTCTATACACGAGTTCCTTTGAATCAAAGAATGTAGAGTTGAAATTCATCAAAGCAAAGTTTTACTCATTTCCTCATTTCCTTGGCAAATCTAGAAGATACAAAAACTTCTTACGTGTTTGGTGGTATAAATTTGGATGCTTTCAAATCAGTTAAAATGTATGAACGGGGTTTTTGATGAAGTACGAGGCTGTCATCCATATCGTAGTAATAAGCTTCTATTTGTCGAGTTAGCTTTACCAGATAATAAGTGCTGTCATACTATTAAGTGATTCAGCGTCCTCCGCGAATTTCTTTTTTCTTTCTGTTAGAAAAGAAAGGCGAAGAGATTAGGTTCATTTTGGCTTTATTCACGTCCCGAGCCTCGAAAGCAGTAAAATTATTGAGTATGGTAAGCCACTCTATCGAATTATCAACTATTTTAGATCACCGAAAACAAGTTTCCTACGAACCTGCAAGCATTATTTTAAAATGTTTGCGAAAGTGACAGCTCAATCGCTCGAGAGTCGGTATAGACCACGAATAATTGGGCTGTCAGGGAGTTTAACTAGTTCTTTCTACTAAGAAAGTAAACGAAACCTTAATACAATTAGATATCTTAACATGTTCTCCCAAAAATGAATACTCAAACAGTACAAAGGAACGTTACTGAGGGATATTAATGTGAGCTCTCATCATTCGGATTAGAGAAGCGGACTTTAACGGGGTGGAAAAGAACGTACTCTGGCAAACTAAATTTGAAAGAAAGATGAACGTACGCCGCTTGCAGTAAACGGCAGGTCACAGTGTCTTGATGAATGAAGGGACGCTTGAGGGTAGCTCGGTAAGGCCGAATGATCTTTTTTCGTCAAGGGCAACCAAAACCTATGGGCAAATAAAGCGCTGCACAAACTTGGCATCTTCTTTTTGCTATACAGATTGCTTACATGACACTTAGCAGATTTAGTTTTGTTGTCTTCAATATTCAAAATTGAGCTAATAGGGAAAAGGTATATTATGCACTTCGCGAAAGGCTTTTAGAGTGAGTTATAGCTGATAAACCGACCGTGTACCGAGCCGCAATCAAACGCTTAAGTGCAGCAATTGTCGAACGAACTCCGGATTGATATTTAGAGACTTAGCTATAAAAACTTTCATATAAATGCGAAAATCGACGTTCTTCTAATAGAACATCAACAATAATCTCGAGCACTGCAGGGGAAAAATCAACCGAATTGTCAGACAGTTAATAATCGTCGTCGTTACCAGTCAGCACAATCTTAAAACTAGCGTTGGGAGTAGCGTCAAAAAACACTTAAGAAATTAGCGACCCGATCCGTCGTTTACTAATTTTGAAATGTTTGAAAATCCTGGCGCATGCAATGAGGTGCATTATGTTTCCTAGAAACGTAATTGTACTTGTCAGATAAAACTTTCAAATTTTCCCGGGCACCTAAAATACGGTATTTCGAAAGTACATGGAACGAAGATAGGTTAAAATAGATCGATTCTTCGAAAGCTGTTGCTTATAGCCGCCTGTAATAACCGTTCGACGGACTCGTAGAAAAAGAGTGACATTCAATACTTCGGTATTCTATGATGGTGACAGGATTTATTTAGCGAAACGTTGTTACATAAAACTATTGAGTTAGGGCCAGCATATGTTATTTGACGTCATACAATGTTTATTCCACTCTGACCTAACTTCAATCTTTTTAGGTCAAATTTATATACAAATATTTATACGGAACATGGGACCTATATGTTGATGGAGGCTGTAATCCATTGTAGATCGAATATTTCATTGCTTATGAAAAACAAGGAAAACATCCAGACGACGTTTTTCGGTCCGGTATATTGTTAACGATATCCCATGTGGAGTTTCACTCTGAAGTTTTTTTCAACGTTTAATAAATCATTTTCTACGATGATTCGGTATGTCGAAACTAGGGACGCCGGCATAAATATTCACAGTTGATATGTAAAACATTGTAGCAGGAGTGTCGCTTTCGTGCATCAGCCTAGACTAATTTGCTGTGTATAAGTATTACTTAACAATTTACCAACCTAAATACTATTATCTTTTTTATAATCAAAAGCTAGAGAATATTTATAGATTTTACAAGTTGTATTAGGCTTCTTCTGTGAAAAACTGTGAAATGGAAAAAGTGATACGATCATAATGTACCTGAATCTAAAGCTTAGTATAAACTTTAATGAAAGAAAGTTATTCTCAAATAACTAGCAGATATTACATTGTATATTTGTGTATATATATATATATATATATATATATATACTGGAAGAAACCGTAAGCCACTTTAGTCTGTATTTTATCCTGAGATAATAATGTTACTTAATAAAATGTAGTGGTTTAGTTAGCTTTTATATATACATTTCTGTAAAAGCTGTGAGATACACATACGAGTGTGCAGACGCATAGAGTAATGTAGAGAGAAAAAGTATTAATCTAAGTATAGTTGTATTAGTCTCTTGCGTACGGTACAGCGACCTCTTGTGACGAAAGTTTGAACCGCTATATTCAAACGCATTACCTTTTAATTAATATATTCGTCGTTATTATTGTTTTAAGTTAACAACCTTGCAGACATCATTTTGCACCATTTCTCAGCGCCCTGTAGTTCCCAGTGAGTTTTTAAGCTCGCCAAAAATATCAGTCAGATTGGTCGCTCGTAGGTTTGCCTTGATGCGCCTTTGACGCGGCGTAGTTATACACCGGTTGGCCACCGTTCGGCGCATTGTATCCTGGAGCAGCTGCTGGTAAAAGAAAATGTTTTTTTTAACGGTGGGTTGCTTATGTCTAAATAATTAAGTTCGATCCGATTGAGCTTAGTAGGTGCGAGCGGGTACTTACCTTGTGAACCAATAAATGTGTATTTTGAATGCCACATACAATA